ACTCAATGGTTGGCTCCCCCCCCCCCTTATGAAAATTTCCTGCCTCTACCCTTGCTGTAGTCCTATCATATCCTATGTCAAATGGTACAACTAACCAGCCCAATCCTCTAAATTAAGAACCTAATTTGGTTTGTATAACCCACTTACATTGAAAGCTCATGAGAGAATGTATGGTGGAATACTAACATCTGAGTCTATAGTCCTATCATATCCTATGTCAAAAGGTGCAACTAACTAGTCCAATCCTCTGAATTAAGAATTTAATTTGGTGTACATAACCCACTTAAATTGAAGGTTCGTGAGAGAATGTACGGTGCCATACTAATATCCGAGCCTACAATCATGCCCTATGTCAAATAGTTCAACTAAACCAGCCTAATCCTCTAAAAAGAACTCCCAAGAATTTGGCTATTGCTATAGATAACAATACTATCCAAGTATAGTCTAGCTAAACCACCTAAGTGTTGCATTCACCTCCATGGGGTCCATCCAATATGTTTCAAAATAGATATTAGGTTACTATAAAAAAATGTAAGGATTTCCTTGATTTTAAGATGATGAGCCTCCCTTAGAGTTGTGCATTTCCTCCTAATAATTTTTAAGCCAATGCCTTTGATTGGAATTTTTCTCTAGTGATTTGATCATTGAATCTACCATGTTTATGGTTATGGCATGTTCTTTGTTATGCACTGTGCTACATGATGTATACTTTGAAATAAATATAGTAAGTGAATGGATGGGAAATCCATCATATGGATGGCTGAACCATGCAGGGTGGCTGGGTGAAATTACAAAAATTTCTTTCTCCTATCGAGTAATCCTATTCCCTGATTTTGAAAAACAACATTATTTAAGGTTCGTTCTTAAACAAACCAAACCAAATCTAAAACCAAGATTAGGGATAGGGTAGTACATGATACAGAATCAATGTAAAACTCCCAACGTAGGTGTTCACGCCCAAAGAAATTACTAAATCCGCCTCCACTGAAAATAACACAGTGAATGTTGAGGCAGGATCAACAAGAAGGATTCTTCAGCAAGAATCGTGTAGGTTGTGTGAGCACAACTTCAGATTATTTCTTCACCAATAAATAATATCAAGAACAGTTCTTGGTCACTTCAAGAGGTGGAGATCAAACTAGGCAGGGCGGCAAGAGCAGAGGAAGAAAAAGATTCAAGAGAAGAAGTGATATCTTTGTACAATTCACCCCCTTTATTTATAACCTTCTCTGGATCAGGTTCCTAATCCAATTAAGAATGAGTTTCTTGATCCAAATCTAATGTTTGGATCTGGACTCTCAAGTTGGATAAGACTTATCTTATCCAATTGATAATCCTAATCAGTAAACCCAAATTCGCCTATTTAATTAAATCACTTAAGCCCAGTTCAAAATGGGCCTTAGGCCCATTAAGTCGTAGTGCTCACTTTACCCTTTAAATGCTGGCTAGTTTGGCTCTCTTTGTATGGTGTGGGACCCAATGATTGATCTATACATCTGCCACATGGGTTCAGCCCAACCTTTGTAATAAGGCCTGGCCAAATTCACTATAGAACACAGTAAACCTCTGAGTCCATCAGTATGGGCTCTTAATGGGCCCAACATTTACACTAAATGGTCATTGGGTCCAGCCACTTTATGAAGGCCCAAGGACTGTGTGCAGATGCAAGATTATCCCATTAGTTATAACCCTCAATGGACTTACACTTAACCTCTCAGCACATAATGATTAAACATTGCCCGACAAGAGAGGACCTCTCCCTCGACTGCAAGGTACAGTGTTGCGCTCTCTATTCACATGGATCCCGAGAATTAAAACATTTTTGCAAACATTTTGTAAAACCATAATATATATATCTATATTTCTATATAAATATATTTTGCAAAAACAAATCTCAACAAATTTGAAATCAACTGCCGGTAGTCTAGGTTTCCATCAGAGAGAGTGCATTTCCCGATCATTCACTTTGTCCGACAAAGGGGCTGATCTTGTTACTATGATCACCCACTCAGGTGAATTCTCAAATTGCCCCAACATACCCAGGTTTTGACCCGGCTAAGGATCTCACTGATTGGCATATCAAAAACAGCCCAATCCGACATGTAGTGTAGTATCATAATCGAATCTAGGGGTTAGGTGTAACTTTCCAGTTTTGCTCATCTATCTCCAAGGTCCAGGGCATAACTAGAAAATGGTCTGGTTCAGGGTTTCAAGAAAATTCACACTACATGTGTTTTGGATCTTACCCTGGTAGCTTGAGACCAGCCACCCCAATCTTCTTGGTAGCACATTAGTGTTAGCCTTAACAAGATAAACCTCCCCAGGTCTATCAAACGACTGTGAAAATTCTAAACTAACACGAGTCTCATTAGTGTCCAGTTTAAGGGTACTACACAAAAACACAACAATATAACATGACTCAAATATGTACTTTATTCATTTACAATAAATGCTCCAGTACATCAATTTGATTGGAGATAAGGGCATACACTGTCTAACATAGAAATTAACAAGGATGTTGGTTTTATATACAACATTGATAGCAATCAAATTTCTTATCTTGATATTATTGATGACTCATGTAGATTATGCAACATACCTATAGGTAGAACAA